AGAGAGAGAGAGAGAGAGAGAGAGAGGAGTTTTGTAACCTTTTACATCTGAGGTCTACATTCATTGTCTGGTCATAAGAAAACCTTACACAGTATAAGGTGAAAGTGGTCTAGATTTCTGACGTGGAGCTTCGATGACTTCATTCTCTATAATTGAGCTGGGCACTGTTATGGTTGTCCCAACTTGAGCTGGCATTGAAGGTTCAGGTGGTGCTGCAGTTTTCACATGTGCTTCCTTGGGCCAAGTAGAACCAGAGCTTGGGGTTGGAGTTGGAGATGTTGGTGGTTTCAAATCCTCATATCTTCAAAAGCCCACAATTAATCACTAAAATCCATCAGTAACAAAATGGGGAAATATACTATTGTCCAGTGGGATGTGGAAAACCATAGACCATAGAGGTTGTGACCAATTGATGAAATGAAGAACAGTAATGGAGGGGAGTTGGGCCAACCATGGGGACCATGCCCTGTTTCAGTGTGTCCCACTATATCTGTCACTGTCCATTTCATTGAATGTTGATAAGACCCCATTGTAAGAGTGCTGAACAGGTAAGGTCGACCCAACGAACCACCTCGTTAACCTGACCTGAGTCCAGGTCTGGACCGTAACACTGGACCTGGAGCAGGTCCAGCAGATCTAGACCCCACTAGGTCTGGCTCCAGCCCAGGCCCATCCAAGCTGGGGTTGAGGCAACCAATATGTGTGCTTGTTTGTGTTTATTCCGGACGGGGTCCACCTATCCTGTTTTCAGGGCTATGCCAATGGACAAATGTGTTTCATTGTCCTTTGTATATTTTCCCTTGAAGAAAAAAGTACATGAGTTTCAACTCACAAATCATAAGAGAGCGACAGAGAGAGAGAGAGAGGAAGAAACTTTCAAACTGACACTGTGAAAGGAGATAAAGGCCTCGTGGCTTGTGAACTTTGCACCACTTCCTTTTGAACCACACTAGGAGTTGGGGGATCTGTTGTGGTAAACTGAGTGGTGGAGGGAACTGGTCCTGGAATATCCTACACAAACAATATCCAAAAACATAAGCTGTCATGCCCATGCCCTATTGAATAGCCTCAACAGGATAATACGATATACTTCAATAGTTTAACTAATCCTTAGAAAATAGTTGTACAAGAGATATTACATTGATGAAGCATACAACTGAACACCCAGAGAGGGGAGATAATTCCACACAACTCAAATTCACATTCGAGGGGGATCCCCATTAGATCCATATAAAGCCATCTAGAAAAGATCTTACCAGGAAAGTTCATTGCAGCTACTATTTCAATATTCATGTATGTGAAGCCAAGTAAGAAGGAAGAGCCTTCAAGGTCCACCGTGAAATGCGCTAACTTGCTTTGACCTCCATGAAGTTCATCTTAAATTTTAGTACTCCCAACTTAAGTTAGTGCGCATGAAACCACAGGAAAAATAGGAAGGCATCACCAAAATTTTCAGATGTAGCCTATGGGAGTGGGGGTGCTAGTCAGGTAACCTGCCTAGTTTCACCAACCTACGTCTGGATCTAGTCTTAGAAACTGGACCCAGCAGATCAGGTCCAGGTCATACATATCCAAATCTAAAGGGGTTCAAGTCCAACATAGACTTTTCTGGGTTGGGTTCAGTGACCTTACTTGGACCCGACCCAGTTTTGTATGTGTTTGTGCGTGTATGTGGTTGTGGACCTGATCAATCCACCTGATCAACCACCAGGGTCTGTGTCCAGATTGGACTCTACTAGATTGAGGTCAACTCAACTTGAATGCGATTTATTAGAGCCCCATATGGGACTTCTGAGGCTATTCATTTCCTTCCTATGTTGTAAACAGGTTTCAAGTTTAGATGGTAGCATGGTGGAGGTGTCAAAAACACCTCCTTGCATGAGTCCTAATGGAGATCAAAGTTGAGATTAATATTGCTCCACATTCAGAGACTCCTTCAATATCCTTGAGGAAGCATGCTAACTCACTAAATCTGACCTCCATGTAGACTTGCTTAAGGAAATGTGTGAGACATCTCCATCACAATATGGCCAACCTCAAATCATGTCTGCCATATAAGGTGGTGCATGGCCACAAAATGCCATAAGCTTGGATTGAGAAACTTAATTATCATATTAGACAATTGGATTTCACAAGAGCGTCCATGATCACTCGAATCATTCTTCGCATCACTCACCTCAAGGATATATGTTCTTTACAAGTGATGATACCCTGGGGATTACTTTGCTTGAAATACTACACTTCAGAATATGTTTTCTAGACAATGGATAATGGCATTCAATAGGATTCTCAGGGTATGGATATGGTGAGCAAATCTATTGGGTGCAATGTTACTTTAACATAAAATATGCTCTTGACTTTAAGTTAGAAGCCAACATCAAAGCTCTGACATGTGCACACTCAAGAGTCAAGACCGGTGTTTAAGACACAACTGAGTCACTTGGACCCAGCAGGGTGCCGGTCCATGATGAAAAGCGCTGAAACTCAGGCGAGTTCTGATTTAGAATACCGCCAGGGGCAAAAGTAAATTCTTGAATCACAATCATGACTTTATCTTAAGTTCCACTATTTATTGATTATTGACTAGTTGTCTAGTATCACCTTGTAGCATCACATCCAGATGCTTCTCATCGAGTTAATAATGGAACTTATTGTTTTTCGACTTAATGAAGCCCTAGGAATGGGCTCAAGACCAAGGTCAGGGTGGCCGGCGCTACAACGTGACATATTGAGTTCCATTCCTATTAGGGGTAGTAGACCCCTTCCCCACTAAACTACCCCGCCCCCCAAAAAAAAAAAACTTAAATGAAACTCTTACACAGCACAGCCCATCAAATGATGGTATGAGCAATGATGCAATGTTTTATCTTAAGCTGATGATATGATCATGAAAAGCACCATCATATTAATGAGAGACTTCTCTCAACTAAAACAACAAGAAATGCATTGAGGAACCAAGATGATAAATGGGATGAGTAATTTATTCATTTGTTACCTTCAGTGGAACCTTTTGTGCACCTTGAGGGGGGACCTTCGAGAGAAGTTCTCCCATAGGAAGCAGTGGGGCTGTTGTTTCTGCAATCACCTCCACAACTTTATTGCAAGAAAGGTCCCTGTTCTTTCCCATGAATGCCATTAATTCTGCCACCTGAATGATAGATCCATATTTTCCATTAATAAAATAGTACTTCCAAGATTTCAATAATAGAAAGAGATATGAATGGCAAAAAAGAGTCCCAAACAGCATTTAAGCCACACAAAATTCAACAAGGCAATAACTTTTAAGCTATGAGTAGAGGGAAAGGTTTCTATGCTTCCCCTACAGCATAGAAGATCTATCCTCCCGCTACCATCCAGCCGTCCAATTTTGATAAAGAGAGCCACTCACCGTTTGATCTTAGATTCGACGTCTCAAAATATTTTATTTTTAGTTTTTTTATACAAATTGTATGAATATGAAATTTGGTACGTACCATCTTCTCATTAGGGCGCACCTATAAAAAATATTACAAATAATTTTTCGATAAAATATAATGACCAAAATACCACTTGAACCTTTCAGGGGTATTTTGGTCATTTTATTTTATTGAAAATATTTTTTTTTATATTTTTCATCAGTGCGAGTTTAATAGAGGAATGGACGTCTAAATTTTGGTTTCAAAATAGCTTATAGAAAGAAATTAAAAATAAAATAGTGTAGAGACGTGACATTGTGATTGGGGCAATCTTAGCCCTCCATTCAAAATGGACGGTTGGATAAGGGGAGGATAGAACTTTTATGCTGTAGGGGAAGCATAGAAAGCTTGCCCATGAGTAGAATGTGTAAGTGTAAAGAAGTGGAGAGAGCTGCTTGGAAGGAACTGGTTATTCTTTCTCAGAGCAAGGATGAAAACAAAGTCAAAGGTCATAGAAGATTATATTGCTTTAGTATCATCTGTAATATATTTTATTTCCCCTACTATTTCTTGGGATATTATTTTCTTAAGTCTCTATTGGACTTAATATCTTTATTGTTGAAACGAAGCCTTCATATCACAAATGCATATTTTCAGCATTAAAGGTTTTAAATTACCAGAAAATGATAAATTTATACCTGAAGATTTGACACTTGTCCTCCAAAATAAGTGTCTTCTTTTGCAAGGACTATATTATGTGTTTCCTTATATGCATCAGTAGGACGCTCCATTCCTCCTGGTCTCACAATCTGAATAATGAAACATAATAAAGTTTGAAAGAAATAAATAATGCTGGGTACTTCTCTTGCACCACCACCATATGGATCGTGCAATGACAGAGTCCATTAGGTTTACCATCAAATGCTAAGATGGACAATGATCGACAGAAAGTGGGACCCACCAGAATCGAGCAGGAAACAAATGGTGGGTCTACAGTAATGGCCTTAGTGGACGATAGTTTTTATAGTCTACAGTAAAAGAAAAATCACAAAAGGTAGAGCTGAAGTTCTTGAGAAGGACAGATTACAATCAGCTAAGAAACATTGTTTATAATAAAGAACCTTGGACTTACAGTGAAAGGAAGGCCACTGGCCATCAATGCTTCTTCTGCCTTCCTTTTCCAAATTAAGACTCCCCAGAACAAGCTGTTGACAAGAACTTAGATCAGACCATAAAAATTTCGCAACTCAAGACTGCCGTTATCCATGATTATCTTAATATATCTCATACTTTTATGCTCACTTATTGCTAGTTCTCCCGATGTATTATATAGAGGAGAACATATCACTTCCACAGATTTGATGTATTCTTTCATCTTTTCTAATTGTGACTTCATTTGTACCATAAATATGTGTTATTTATGAAGGCATTTTGATAAGATCAAGAAGAGGTCACTGCAGGCTTTATGACCATGAATGCTTAATATGAGACCTACAAAGATCTTAGGATCATTTGATATTTACGCCAAATTTTTTGGCACTATAAATAGCATAAGCATAGATCTCCATAAATCTTACTTTAGAATCGCTGCGGGGAAACCAACTTTGTTTGTCCCCAAAGATGTGAGCAAAATGAAGTTCTCAACTTTAGCAACAGTGGCTGCATATTGAGGCAGGATAGTTTTGTCAATGAATTTCCACGAAGAAACACCAGAATCTTTTTAATTAAAATTTTAAATGAATCAGAAGGAAAACAAAGAAAGAATAAAGAACACTAGACCTCAGAAAAAGTATTAATTATGTGCTGCAGAATGGGAAAGTCCCAGACTATGGTCTATGTTACTCCAACAGGAAATCCACCATACGTTCTGATGACAGATGGAAATGATTAATTTCACTTGAGTAAATGTCCTGGTAGGACCTAGAACTCTTAATCTCCACTGTCCATCATTCAAGATTGGGTGGTGGGGCTGTTTTGGAATACCATATAACATATCCTCAGAAACTCAAAATTTAGGCCATGATATCAAGCACAAGCATAAATTCAGAGGAAACCTATTTAACTAACTAGCAATTAATTGAATACGAGGAAATTATGGTTCAAAGACATGAAGGACAGTGACAGAGAGAATTGGATCCTGGGATCATTATAGTTCAGAGCAGGGCATGCCTCCAATGGTGGATTCATATCAAGTCATCACCATCTATCATTTCATGGGGCGATGGGTATCCATTGAGTTGTAGTTTTCACATTCCATTGGGTTATAGTACACATTCCCTTGAATATTTACAGCAAAAAATAATCTTTAACCACCTACAAACCCATTAGCCATAACAAATGATTGGTTGAAGGCCAGAATACCTGCATCAATAAGGTTCTTGGTAGCTTGATAATCAATACGATAAGGTCCAGTTATGTCAAATACCTCCTTCTCACTTGCACCTATGCAGCATATAATTACAGAGGCATTGCCTATTGCTGGTCCAATCTCATTGGGTTTCTCCAAGTCACATTCAACAATGTCAAGCTTCTCTACAATTGGGCTGAACACAATTGTCTGTTATTTATATTAGAAATGAATATAACCCTTTGCCTCAGATAACTCTATAATTAAGTTTCTATTCTGAATTCAATTTCTATTTAGTTCCTTTTAAGAGTTCTCTGACAACCTATGGTAAAAGATGCAAACCGTGATTGTGGCATTCTCTTCTCTTACGTTGAATTCCCCGAAGCACTTGTCTCCACATCATCAATCTTCAGTCTTTGAAAAATCTGCAAAAGCCCTAAGTTTTTTTAAAACGAATAGTCCAATACATTGAGCCTAAGCGATTCAGCAAGAATTGCCTCTCTCTCTCTCTCTCTCACACACACACACACACACAATAAGTAAAAGAAAAAAGAAAATCGCTTAAAATAATCTGCAGTACCACTTCCTCCGCTTTCTGCCTGCTCCTAACTCCAGCTCTTACGTGAAAACCAAGTTTTACGAGCTGACTGAAGAAAATGTCAATGCAGGAGAAGTTAAAGACCAAATGGCACAAAAAAGCTCATAGAAAAACTTCACAAATATAAATAAAACTGCTACCTCACAGTACGAGAACCAACTCTACCAGTAGCACCAGCAACAAATGCGAGGTTGTCATCCTTTTCCTGGTTCCTGCTTTGAACAATATTCTTAACTTCTTGAGGAGTACCTTGTGATGGCCCTGTAGCAAGCAATGCATTAATGAATACTTCGAGGAAGAGACTATATTCAGAGGAAGGTATACCACAATCCAATTGGAAAGTATACTACAATTCAGTTGGTGTATCACTACCTATGGAAATCACTGTCCATTGGCGTCATCACCATCCATTGAAATAATGGATACTGATGGAGAGAGAATGAGACCCAATATTGGGGTCATGTCCTTTTCTGGTAAACGACATGCCCCCCATCAACATCTATCATTTCACGGGGTGGTGATGGCCTGAATGGAGTATGGTTTTCCTTGTTCTCTGATTCTTTTATACATACCATCACTATAATCAAAGCCGAATAAAGAAGAGATAGCCTGCAATAGTTCATCAAAGAACATCTAATCCATATTAAGCTTATGGCTGAGTCCGACCACCGCAAAGTAAAAACTATTGAAGTCGCGAACTCAAAATCTATCGAAAAAGTGATTTTCCAAATTTTTACATGTTTTAGACGTACTGTAAGCAATCATGTATCATGTTTCTGTTGCACCTTAGCATGCTAACGATATAAGAGGGAAAAAAGAAAGAAAGAAAAGAAGACTTGAATTATTATCCAAATCAACATCAGGAGTTCCTCCCAATACTTAGAGAAAATTGTCAGACTAAGGTTGAGAAACTCAAAAAATTGTTAGAATAAGATTGAGAAACTCATCTTCTAATTGATTGTATTGACCCATAATTTTTTTTATCCCATGTAAGAACTAACAGGTGACAATTTTCTAACGACTTTTATATGATCTTAATGCTTTGTAGGACCCCTTCAAAGGAAAAAAAAAAATTAAAAATTAAAAATTAAAATTTTTTGTGTACAATTCATGGACGTCTTCATCAAAATCACATACACAGGAGTTCAGACTTCAGACTGAGGTTTAATTAAAACTGAAGTCATAGATCACTACATAATTGAGCACAAGCCATTCTTCTAAAACTGATAACATGTGCCAAATTAGCGATCAAATAAAAAGAAACCCATTTCCTATCTAAAAGCAAACTAAGAAATTTAATCAATTTTAGGAGTAAAACATCCATAGTATCCACAGACCACAAAGATAAAATCTTAAAATAAAATAAAATAAAAACTATGATAAACTACTATTTTTTAATTGTCTAAACCAGTGTGCTGGGATTCGCCTCAGTCAGGGGACTAGGCCCTTGGCCGAGGCGAATTACTCGGCTGTGTCCAACACATGGCCTTTTGGCCCTAAATTTTTTTTTTGTAAAAAAGCAAAATTTTAAAAATTAAAAATGTAATAAAAGTAAATTGAAACCCGAAAAAAGCTTTAAAATATAGAGAAAATTGGATTTAGAAAAAGCCAGTACAGTTTTTGTACATTTTAGAAAATCCAGAAAAAAGGAAAATACAAAAATAGTGATTATAGCAAAAAAAAAAAAAAACACTCACCAATCATCGCAAAATACTTTCAAATCACATACAAGATTATACACTTATCCAAGTTGTGCACCCAACTTGGGGAAGCATTGCCTCGCCCGTAAAGCCATGCCAAGTTACTCTCCCGAGACCGAGTGGGCTCAGGCGAGTCATGGCACACTTTAAACTTTAAAATGCAAAGTGGGTAGAGATCAAATTCGCATACTTAGCTGCAGTTCACTGATTAATGGAGGAAAACTCACACTCTGATAAGGAAAACACACACACTCTGATAGGATCGGTAGTCACTTATTTCCTATCCAAACTTCAACTAATAAATTTAGAACAAAACGTCCATAATTTCTTGAGAGAGAAAACCTAAAAACAAATGTTATACATCATTAAGTAAGTTTGAATTGTTTAAAATACAAATTGGTTAAGAGGGAATCACCACACTTAAAAATAGATTCATAATGCACATTCTGACTGTCTTGGAAATAAAAAGCAACCCATTTCTTACAAAACATCCACTCCTAAATTTGATAACTTTACAAGCAAAACATCCACAAATCCTAGACAGAGAAATACTTGGAACTTAAAATACAAAAAACCCATCAATTTGAATTATTTAAAATGCCATAGGGATGAAAAAGGGGAATGGAGAAAGACCCATGTAGTGAAAACTGAAAGAATGGATAACCTGAAGCTTGAGCTCTGGAAACATAAAATTTGAGCTTTCTTGTTTGTGGGCATGTTTGAATTCTGGGAATTGTGAGAAAATGAGGAGAGAGAAAGGAAGTTTTCTCCAATGTAAAGCTTTCTATGGGCACTAGGGATGAGAAAGAAGATGAGGGAACAGAGGAGAGCGCCATTGCCTCTCTCTCTCTCTGCTCAATCAGCTTTTACTACAAAATATTCGCTTTCTAGGGACAAATTAAAGCCATGAAAATGGGGTTTTATTATTTTTTAAAAATTTCTTAACGAAATATTTTTGTGCCAACGTGGCACCTCCAGGTCCTTATTATCCTGATATGGTGAGTCCTACTTGGCAAGTGACAGAGGGGAAATCTCGGCTATATTTCCGATCTATGTAACGGAAATATATCGGTAGTATATCGGAAAGCCAAAAAGTCGTTACTAATTTATGAGAAATTTATAAAAAGTACAACTATTTAATATTTTATCTAAATATTTTAATTTAATTTCAAAATACACATGAACATAGTTAAAATAGGTCAAATATTAATGTATTTTGATAAATTTTTCTATTTAGTTTTTGGCTGAACCAAAATACAAGAAATAGGGTCAAAGAGGAGCACCGGAAAAGTACACAGTAAAAAAAAAAAAAAATGTGATTGTTGAATTTGACTCAAAATAACATTGTTAAGAAAATGGGTGTAACCGCATTAAGCAAAATCCTCCATAACAGGATTTTCTTAACTCTGTAATTTTGAGACAAATTCAACAATCACATTTCTTTTGTTTTGCACTGAGTATTTTTCCAGTGCTTTAAATAGTGATTAAAAATTTCCGATTAAATAGCCATTAATTTTTTTTCACTAAGTATTTTTCCTACCCTTTGCTTTAAATAGCGATTAAAAATTGGCTTCTTATGGGAAGTTTGTAATCTTATGTAATGCATATTTCCCTTAGGCCCGTTCCGCTCATTGATCCAGGAGTCACTTTTTCTTAAAAAAGCGGGCCAAATGTATTTGGTTAGCTTAGAATTGACATTTCCATTAAAAATGAGGTTTTCGTGAGATTCTTGAATGCTCATTTTAAGTCTAAATTTTGGAAATTTCAATTCCACCAAAAAATGACATTTCATGGAAATGATCCACTTTGCTGCTCAAGAGAGAAAGTATAAGAATTTTTTTAGAGAGAGAATATACAAAAAAAATTCGTGGGAGAAACTACCTCAAATTTATTTTAGAGAGATAAATTATCTCAAATATTAAATTTTAGAGAGATAACTAATCTTAAAATTTTAAAGAGAAAAAATACATTAAATTTTAGATAGAGGAACTATTTAAAATTTTTTTAGAGATAAATATCTCAAAACATTTAGAGAGAGAAATTATCTCATATTTTAAGTTTTACAGAGAGAGCATATTAAAATTTTAGAGATTAAAAACTATATCAAATTTTAGATAGAGAAACTACCATAAAATGTTTAAAGAGAGAAACTATATCTAATTTTAAGTTTTAGAGGGAGAAAACATCTTAAAACTTTAGAGAGAAAAACTATATCAAATTTTAGATAGAGAAAGTACTTGAAATATTTAGAGAGCAAAACTATTCAAAAATTTTAGATAGATAAACTATCTCAAATTTTAAGTTTTAGAGAGAGAAAGTACAGTAAATTTTAGAGAGAGAAATTATCTCAAATTTTAAATTTTAGAGAGAAAATATCTTAAAACTTTAGAGAGAGAAACTATATCAAATTTTAGATAGAAAAAGTACCTAAAATTTTTAGAGAGAAACTATTTGAAAATTTTTAGATAGAAAAACTATCTCAAATTTTAAGTTTTAGAGAGAAAAATTATATTAAAATTTTAGAGAGAAGCTACTTGAAAATTTTAGAGAGATAAACTATCTCAAAATTTAAGTTTTAGAGAGAGAAAGCATCTTCAAATTTTAAAAAAAGTAACTATATCAAAATTTAGAGGGAGAAAGTACTTAAAATTTCATAGAGAGAGAACCTATCTTAAAAATTTTAGAAATAAATTATCTCAAAATTTAAGTTTTAGATAGAGAAAGTACCTTAAAATTTTAGAGAGAGAAATTATATCATATTTTAGAGAGAGAAACTACCCGAAATTGTTTAGAAAGAGAAACTATCTGGAATTGTTTAGAGAGAGAAACTATCTCAAAAATTTTATAAAGAGAAACCATTTCAAATTTTAAGTTTTAGAGAGATAAAACATATCAAAATTTTAGAAAGAGAAACTATATTAAATTTGAAAGAGAGAGAGAGAGAGTATATAAAAAAATGTGGAGATAGAAATTATCTCAAAATTTTTAGAAAGATAGACTATTTCAAATTTTAAGTTCTTGAAAGAGAGTATATAAATTTTAAAGAAAAAAATTATCTCAAAATTTTGAGAGATAGAGAGAATTTGTATTTTCAAAAAAAAGATATTCCAAACAATCCAAATATAGAATTTGCATTTTTTTCATTTCTACCATATGCAATCCAAACAGGAAATTGACACTTCCAAAACATCTCAATTCCAAAATTGACTTTTCCTAAGATTGAGAAATTCATAGATCCAAACAAGCACTTAGAGGAAATGATATGGTATGGGACATGAGCATTGTTGAATAATTCATGGACGGTCCAGATGTCTGTTTCCACAATCCCGTCACATTTGGACAGTCTAGGTAAGTTCATAATCATCATAGTCCGATTAAGGAATGTGGATCCTACCTTTTGCTTTAAATAGCAATTAAAAAATAATTTGATAAGAAATTTTTTTATTTTTTTTCACTTTTTTTTCCTATAAAACTCAAACCTAGGATCCAGCACCAAATTAAAAATTGCCCATGTAAATTGGGAATCGAACCATATTGAAATCAATGTTAAACTCATAGGTTCCTTTTTAGAACAGATTCCTAGTCCTATTTGAAGGGACTCACCTCTCTTATAAAATCAGGAGGGCATGTCAAGGTATCCACTAACCCCGATAGGCTAAACCACCCATTCCTACCTAATCTAATTTTTCAATACTTCAATTTTAAATATTTTGAAATACACAAATATTTTAATACTTTTTAGATTGAGAATTGTTGATCCGAACAACCCAACATCAGGCCGTTTCACCGACCGCTTCCGGTTTCATACTATGTCATCTGCTTATGGTAGCAACCACCCCGTTTCGACTGGCCATAATTTATGCTTAGGAGCTCTCTGACCAATTTGGGCTACCTATGATCTTAGTTATCAAGACCGGATTAGACCCATCAAGTCTGACCATTTCAAAATTGTCTGATGCTAGTTTTGGTCTAGTCTAAAATAAACATAGGAGTTGATCGAAAACTGATCAATATTGGTTGGTCTGGCTAGTTTTGTTTGGTCAAATTGACGAAAACAAATGTGTATCATTTTTGTAATGTTTGTTATATTTTAAAGTATTATTCGTTTTTTTGTATTGGTAAAATCCAATCTAAGCAGTTTGATCAACAGTTGGACCGATATTAACTAATCAGATCCCTTAACAATTTGATGGCCTGTACGATCTTGCTTGTGACTATGGGCAAGGATTAAGTTGAGATTTTTTAACAAATAAAAATATTTTTAATGAATAAAATCACGAGATTGTATATTATAAGGTCATTCATTTTTTTGGTACAAGGAGGTTACGAATTGCTTTTAGCCATTGGGTATGAAATCCAATAAATGAAAAAGTGTCACAACATTCGAAAAAATTTATTTTGGATTTTGTGCTCAAATAATAATATATCGTTAACCACCCGATTTCAAATCTAACAATCAATGATGATTGTGACATCCTTATATCAAAAGTAAATAATTCTACTTACATTTCCTAAAACTACACCTTGCAACAAAAAAAAAACAAAACAGACACTCATGTAATGCTCACGAAACACGGAGTTTCCTATTTCATTATAATTGAACGATGCCAAAAACTTTAATAGTATTTTAACATTATTTTCTTTGATTGTATATTATAGGACCATTTTTTTTTGGTACAAAGAGGTAATAATTGCTCTTAGACATTGGATGTGAAATCATACAGATTGAAATGTTCATAACATTGGATAAACTTTATTTGGAATTTTGTGGATAGTCAATAATAATCTCGAATCACCTGATTTCACTTCTAACAGTCAACAATGTTGACCTCCTTATGCCAAAAGTAAATCGCCTTATTTTATTTATTTCCTACTTTAAATGTAGTACAATGAGATCATTGATTTTCTAATTGCTTCCCCCGAAGGTCTTTTTTTTGTTACATTTCCTGTTTTTTGGACTCTATGTAGCATTAATGTAAAGCTAGAACTTCGAAAGGATGCTCTAGAATCTAAATATCTTAAAATTAGTCGAACTAAGATAAAGTATATGGAATGCAAGTTTAACAATAATAGGAGTAGAAATGAGGAACTAGTTAAGATTAATAGTTAGAAAATACCTAAAAATGATTATTTTCTATGTCTTGGGTTAATAATCAAGGAGAATGGAGAGATTGAGATAGAGTTGGGTGCATGAAGTGGAACTGTGTATCCGGAATTTTATATATCGCTGCATACCCATGAAAATGAAGGAGAAGTTCTATAAGACGGTTGTAAGACTAGCCATGCCTTTTATGGGACAGAATGTTAGACCATCAAGATACAACATATCCATAGGATGAGTATAGTTGGGATGAAGAAATTGAGATTGATGAGTGACAAGACAATAAATGATAAAATTCATAATGAATATATTCGAAAAAAATTAGGGACAGCTCCAATAGACAATAAGATGAGAGAAATTATACTTAGGTAGGCTGACTATATACAATGTATACTTAATACAATATTGATTGGGAAGAGCTATTTGGTTCAAGTGGAAGGCTCTAAAATAGATAAAAAGGAAGGCCTAAAAGAACATGAACGAAATTAGTGAGAAGAGATATGGTGACTTAGGGTCCGATTGAGGTTATGGTCATTGATAGAGTAGAATGGTAGAATAGAGTTTATGTGGCCAACATCAAATAGTTGTGATACGGCATGGATGTTGATGAAGATAATCATATTATCTGTTTCTGCCGTTTCCCTTTGTTAGTTCATTTTTTTTGTTTTCTTGGTTAAATGTCGATTTTCCAAAATATAACGGTCATTACTATTTTAAAATGGAAGCAACTAGTCCCATTACAACAATGATTTTATGCAACGATCATACAGTAATATGATACAACTTTTAAAAACCATGTTAGGGTTATTTGTTTAATCTAAAGTTTGAAATATCCACTATTTTGATTCTAATGAACAATCACAAAAAGGAAAAATTGAAAATGCAACCTAGAAAATATTTTTTAGCCCAATTCACATAGGCCGTCTATTTTGGTGAGATACTTAAATCTAGGCCTTAGAAGGATTTTTTTTTTACCAATTTTTTTAGATGGCTTTATTATGATTAGATAAATAATGTTAAAAAAAATAAAAATGATTTTGAGTTTGTAAAGGCTAATATCTTGAAATTCACCAAATGAATGGTCTGGATTCATTGTTAGAGGGGACTCATTTTGACCATATCTAATGTTCAAATTGAACTTTTTTTTTTTTGAGGATTGATTATTAAGATAAAGGGAGTGTGTGCAAATTTTTTAGTGTATAAAATTTTGGGTCATACAAATACCACAAATATAGTTTTTTAAAAGTGTCGTTGCATTTTACTAATGAAACAACCATTTCATTAAATCATTGCCCTCTACTTTTCATACCCATGGTTACATTGGGTATACTGTGTTAAATCCTCCTTGCTTTCTAAACCATGTTTAAAAAGGTGGCATTACTCTTATGAAAATACTATGAGCCTGGTGCCGTTACCATTATGTTTATTGAAAGAACAAACTTTTACCATTACAGGAAACTATAGTGGGTTCCCAAAATAGGTAGTTAGGGTGACGAGTGCTGGATCATGATGTCTAAAGTTTCATTCTCACCCGATGTTGAAAAAGTCGGCCGATTAATCAAGAAAATCACGAATCTTATTGTCGATCTTACTATTTTTGAATAATATTTTTGACTATTATGTAATATGTAATTTTTTTCAATTACTTGTTTATGGAAAAAATACTGCCTTACGTGCCTATAATATTTTTTTGTTTTACTTATTTTTCGAAAGGGTGAGGTTTAAGAAGGCCGAGGCCATAAACAATCAAAGACCTTCAAATAGTGCCAGTATATGTTGTTTCAATATCATAAATCTTTATGATGGCTTGAAAAATTATTTTTATCTTTAATTATAAAATTCAAAGTTAAAAAATAGTATAGATTGAGCAGATCTATGAACACTTGAATAGCTTGAAAATTGACGGTCTAGATAATACACTATAAGATGTACTATTCTCAAGACTTGAAATCTATTTTTTCTCATGTCTATATATTTTGAGATCGAGATGATCAAATTGAAGACTTTTCAGCATCAAATCAATCTTTTCTAATGAATTTTTCTGGTGCACTTTAATTTGATTGTTTAATACCTCACCTTTATATAAACTTTTTTCTTTTCTAAATTATGAGCATTTTAGCCCAAGATGGAATCGATTCAAATTCTTTTAGCATCCCATTCCCATGCAACATCCATAATTATTCACAAGGGAGCCATGATTGGTGTAAACTTTTTCAAGGTCATAGTTCTCAAAAGAAGGACCAAAAAAGTCATGATACATCATTCCTTGGTCCCAACAAATAGAAGAGAATATTTTTTAATAAAATGTCTAAATTACACCCTTGTTCTTTTCTTGTATCTCTAGATTCTACGTAACATGCTATCTTTTGATATAGTTCGAACTTTATTAATTTTGTACCAAGATTTTTTCATGTCATTTAACCTAAAAGCTGCTAGGGTACGAAAATGTTTTCTTGGCAAAGCCAAAACGAGAGATGTTATTTTCTCATGGTTTACCAAACCTCTAAGGATTAATTGGTTTGTGCTTGACGATCAGTAACCCCTTGTCTCACCCAAACAAAAAAAAAAAAACTATTAGGCTCATATATTGTATACCTACTCCCTCGGGCTGAAGACCTAGTTGGGATGATTTTTGTTGATCTAAAATTTCGAGATCTATCTAATTATCATCCGATGATCATTTTTATGAAACAAAATTGGATTTAGAGTTCTTGAATAACTATATCATACCTTCTGAGGGTGGTTGGTATTCAATTGGTAGGACGTGAAATTCGGTTTTTTTTTTTTGTTGGAGGCATATAAAAAGGTCGACCCGGCATGGGTTTGAGCCTGGACCCAAAAATTAGAACCGTTGGGCCGGGTCTGGTTCCCTATGACCTTGATCAAACCTAGGTCTCAGTTCCATATTGATATATTATAAATAACAAAGTTCATTTTTCTTTTTATCTAGGCTGATCCAGATACCGATACCCGACATGAATTGGGGTCGAGACTTGGAACCAGTCGGGTGAGGATCACACTGCTAGCCAGTCCGAGAGGTAGATTGAGCCTGGACACTACAAATTCAAAATTTCGAGGGAGTAAGAAGGGGCGTGGCATGTAAAAGAGAGACAAACAATAGGTATAAAATACAAATTCTCACCTCAGGAGAGAAGCAAGTACATGGCATATATACGGCAGGCCATGTCCTAGAAGGGAAGAAAGAGAAACATAAAACGCAAGGAGTAAGGGAGAAACAGAAACATAAAGTAGAAGAGAGAGAAACTGGCCAATGCATGAGGTCGAAGAGAGAGATGCAACAGGGAGCATTGGCGTTCAAAAGCAAAAGCAGAAAGCGAAAAAGAAGAAAGGAAGAGAGAGAGAGAGACAGGGCGCAATGGATGATGGTGAACATGCTTTGGAACGGAGCTCGACAATGGGGAAATTCGAGCAATTTGCAGTTGCTTACACCCATAAAGCAAAGACACTCCCACCTGGTAAAGTAATTCTTTTGCGCCCACAACCCTCTCCTTTCCCCCGTGTAAATCATTTCAGGAAATCCCCTCCTTTTTCTCTCTCTAGACCGCCATTATTGGATACCTCCCATAGAGGACAGGAATTCCTATCCTGAATGATTAGAACACGGTTCCAGACCAACCCACATGCTCGAGAAAACAGTAATCAGAACATTGAATCAGTTTCAGAGAAACCCACTTCTGAAAATTCCATTTCTTTCTCTCTCTAGGAATGGTAGGTCATTTTCACTTTCGAAACTCCAATATTTTCTCTCTCTTTGGGAATGGTGGGGTTGTTTTGTTGGTTCTTAATTGGTTTTGGGGTTGAACAGTTAGTGTTTTTTCAGAAGCCCACCTGGAAAAGCTCCTCTTTTCTCTCTCTAGATCGGTGTTTTGCTGTGTAACCCAGTCATTTGATTCTGGCTTTTAAAAAGGAAAGGTGGGTAATTTTGGTGCTTCTTAATTGCTCTCTCTCTTGCTCTCACTCTCTGTAAATTGTTGTGTGGATGCCTGCGTTAGTTATTGCACACAGCTGCAGATCAGCCTTCTTTTCGGTCCATGCGAAAATTATACATTCGAATAGTTGCAGAGAAAACCTTAGTTTTTCAAAAGCAAAGAGGAGTGTTCTACTTTCTTGGAATTCCTCTTTATCATAATTTATCCAAAAGCTCATCTTCCAAATCTTGTGTTTTCTTGTCCATTAATCATCAGTAAAATTTCAAACCAACCAAACAAACAAATAAAAAAGGAATAAACTGGAAACTTCTGGTTTCCAAGAAAAATTCAAAACTCTGTTTTTGCATAAGATGGTTAATATACATATTTCTTAACTGGCTCCAGAATCGGAGTTCTCTTTCTGCAGTTATATCAGAAACTCCTGTTTTTTTTTTTCTTTACTTTTCTTTGAAACCTTATTATTCTACTCGGGCTCCAACCGAAGCACTTTTTTTTTTTTTGTGAATGATACCAAGAGAAACATTCTTTAAGCTCTTTTTTCTTTTCCTTGCTGATTTTAGTGTTATAAGGCTTGACCAGAGCAGAAGCTGGTCTAAGAAGATCAGACCCTTTCAATTTTCAATGAAGAATGTGCTTTGATCTTGAATCTTGCTTCATTTTCCGTCAGCTTTAGGTCAATAGAGAGAAACCCAAGTTTTAAAATGGATGAATTTAGTGTGAAAAGGCTTGAACAAACCCATACCCGGCTTAGAAATGTTCCAATCGCTGTAACCCCTGAAGGCTTCTGGTGTTGCCCCTCCCCTGTTGTTTTCCCAAAGACTATCAAAGTTCAAAACCCAAACCCTAGACACAAACAGACTCCAAAGCTCCAAAAAATCCCTTCTCAAAACAAAAACCACCACCCATCAAGCCAAAACCAGAAACCAACTACCCCTTTTGTCAAGCAGAGGTCAGTTTCTGATAACCTGAGAAACTTGGGCTCTGAAGCTTGTGGTTTCAGTCCATCAGTGGTTAGTGAGAGAATGCCAAAACCAAGGCCTGAGAATTTTCAGCAAAAGAGGGTCTCAGTTGAATTTAGTGAGCCTGAAACCAGTGACATGATTGTGATTTTATTGGGGAAGCATGGCTTATCCGTGAGGATGAGAGTTCATAGAAATATTCTTGCGATAAATAGCACTTATTTTGCAGAGAAGCTCTCTCAGTTGTTGGGTCCTCCATTTTGTGTTGAAATTGGGGAGTGTGAGGATGTGGAGAGTTTTGTGGAGACTGTTGGGTTGATGTACTGCAAGGACGTGAAACAGAGGTTGGTCAAGCAAAGCATTCCTCGTGTTCTCCGTATTCTCAAGGTATGAGTATGTTAATTTTATTTACTTTTTCTTTTTTATAGATGAATCAGATCATTTTTCTTTAGTCTTATGCCATGAATTTTGAAGCTATGTTTTGAGTGCTTGAAGATTAGAATGTGGATTATTTTCCTTTTCTTTTCTGCTGATATGGTTTCTGATTCTGATCTCATAATAAGCAGTTTGATAGTAGCATTGTTATGTTGCTTTGTTGGATATTGATGCCCTGTTTCATTTCTTTATTTGTTAGTGCTTATTTGAAGGGCATAAACTTAGTTATGCAATGCTGGTTTTTAATTTTCAGAAATCTATCTAAATTCTTGAAATAAATTTTTTTACACCAAATGTTGTACCGGATGTTTGAAACATTGTAAAAGACTAATAATGTTAATGAGTGCTTTTTTTTTTTTCTCTTTACAATCATTTTTTTCTTTTTCTGGTCTTCTCTATGTAAGATAATTACTGAGAAAATCTAAGGGCACAAGAAAAGTATGGCACAAGAAAAGGCTAGTGCATGGGAAACCATGGCACAAGAAAAGGAAAGTGGGCCAACTTGCACAAGGGATTATTTTGTCATGTAAGGTGGCATCGGCTCCTTGTTTTTGGAATAAATGCCATTAGGTGCACCCTTGATCATGTAAACACTACTTTATTGCTTGTTTTCATCTAAATCTATGTAAACATCAGTTATTTTGATAAAATTTTATCTAAATTTTTTATTGGAAATGGATTTTTCTATACAATTGCTTAACTTATTACTTTGCATTGATTTATTTAATTTATTTGCTCAACTTAATGTTACTCTATCCTGGTCTGGATATATTCCCTGATTATATGTACTAATTGTGCAATGTTCCATGTAGAATTTGCCATCTGATAATGGAGTATCACACTAACCATGCTTGTATGCAGCATAGAATCGAGACATAGTTATTTAGTCTTGAATAGTCTATTCTGGCATCAGTTCTGGTCATTTTAATGTTGATTTTGTATTTTTTTTTTTTTGGGGGGAGTTCAGTGGTAGGAATCAAACTTGAGAAGTAGCATGTTGAATTTGTATGTTAAAGTGCTAAAACATCACTATAAGGGTACAAGCTGGTTGTAATCTACAATATACACATCCACATGTCCATAAATCAAATTATTAAAGATGTATACTATAGATCGAAAGCTATGGAAAACCATAGTGCATTAGGTTCATCACCATTTGATAAACTGGGCCATGATGGAGAGAGAGTGAAATTTACAGGAACATGAGACTGGCTCTGACTCCATCACCTCTTATCATTTAATTGAACATTCCTGATGCTGAGTGGGCTATGTTTTCCACAATTCATTGGGTTGTAATATTCTTTCCTGTTTGAGATATATCTGTTTCCAAACAATTTAAGCTATTTTTATTACTTTTTTTCAAAAGATTTCTTCCCTTCCATGTTAGCTCTCAACTTACCAGCCTGTTGAATCTCAGTTATTGCTTATGCCATGATAGCACTCTATGACTAAAGCAATGTTTGGTTCCCAGGTTTCAGATTTCCTTGGCTTCCAATTAGCTCTCCAAACATGTCTCGAATACTTGGAAGCGGTTCCATGGGTAGGAGAAGAAGAGGAAAAGGTAGTCTCTTCCATTCTGCAGCTCAAAGCCGATATACTCGCATCGTCCCCCATTCTCAAAAGAATAACCCCTGAACTGAACAGCAACCCCCATGATCTCCTTTCTCACATATTACAGCTAATTGTCAAAGGAAATGAGGAGAAAGGTCGAAGAGAGATGAAATCCTTGGTGTCAAGGCTTCTTAGAGAAAATAACCTCTCAAATCCAAGCTCAGATGATATATACAACAAGTACCTCTATGATACCTGCCAAACTTGCCTTAAAACTCTCCTTTTCCTCTTTTCTCAAGAAGCTGACTCCAAATTCACAGGCATTACCAAAGACCCAATAGGCAAGATCAGTAAGGAAAGAGTAGACTCAAGAGAGAGAAGAGAGACCGATATCATAGACTCAAATGTGAAGATTTCTACTAGTGAAATCATAGACCCATGCATGAAGATTACTGCTAGTGAAATCACAGACCCAAGAGTGGAGGAGATTAGTATTAGTGAAACCATAGACCCAAGCTTGAGAATTACTAGTAGTGATACCATAGAGCCAAGAGTGAAGACTAATAGTAGTGAAACCATAGACCCCAAAAAAGGATCAGTAGTGCAACAAATTTCACTGCAAGCTGATAATCTCCTGTGGTTGGTTGAGATCCTCATCGATCGATTAGCTGCCGATGAATTCGTTGTCATGTGGACGTCTCAGCACCACCTGGCCGACCTCCACCCAAGGCTTCCAATAGCATCACGCCACCTGGCAAGCCATATCACAGCTAGGATTTGTATAGCTATAGGGAAAGGAGAGGTTGTGGCCTCAAGAGAAGCAAGATGTTCACTTTTTGATACTTGGTTTCAGCCGTTGATAGAGGACTACGGATGGTTAAAACATGCTTGTAGGTCATTTGATCGGAGGGCAGTGGAAGAAGGGGTGGGCAGGACAATTCTCACATTGCCACTTGAGGACCAGAGGAGGATATTTGTCAGCTGGTTGAATAGTTTCTTAAAGTTTGGAGATAGTTGTCCAAATTTGCAGGGGGCCTTTGAGGTGTGGTGGAGGAGAGCATTTGTAAGGCCCTATGTGGGTGAGGATAGACATGGGGTGTTAAGGCTAGATGGGGTGGTGGCAATGAGGTAGGTGTGGGGTTAGAGAGAGAGACATAGAGAGAGGTGTGGAGGTGTGGTTTGGATGTTTTGTGTGCAGTTACAAAGAGGAGGTGGTGCTTTACCTAAGTTTGAAATTGAGTGACTCTAGTGGAGGTCCTAATTCATGTATTCAAAGAGATTTATATGTTGGCATGTGAATGAAGATAAAGTGCAATTTGGTATTTTGATGTTTTGATAAACTATTTAGGGCACATCATGGCTAGGTGCTTTTGCTGATAGATTGGATGAATTTAAAATTATTTAAGATTGGCACCTTAAATCTCAAGGCTCTCACAAGGATTTTTCGCACTGAAAGTCCCCTCTTTAATTACAATTTGGTTGGTGGTGCACCTTATTTTGATTGTTTAAGGTTGGCACTTTATGCGAAATTTGCCTAAAAAGAATAATTACTGTAGGAAAGAACGCATCACCCCAGCTGATAGATGTCAACTGTGGACGGATGGAGTGTGTTGTGGTCCTCTGATAGCTGGTCAAAAATTTTGAAGATTTCCAAGTATAGAGTGACACCTCAGTTGTGCACAAATCTAATGGCTGGGGTAATGTGTTTATTCTACAGTTTTTAACTGCGCTCATTTAATACTTTCGAGCTCCAAAACTGGTGTAGATCTTAAGACCTTAGGGTCTTGGAAACATGGTACGGTTTGTCCAATAAGAAATAGAGCAAGATGAATTATTTTCTAGGTTCTTAATCTATTTTCCGATTCCATGATTGCTTTTTTGTTCAGGTGTCCAATATGTCTAGTTTGTAATAAAACTATTTATATTTGGTATAAGAAGGTCATAACTACCCGGAGCAATCAAATGTTAACCCGCTTAAAGGTACACCTTCAGTAGTCCATATCTAAGGGTCATTTTCGACTTCTTGAAAGGTAAACGACATCGATGCATACTCTCTCTTTTTGTATATTTATTTGAGATTTCCTTTTTATTTTCTTTTGATTCAAGTTTCTGTTTTATTTTGTGTTCATTATCTTCTCTTTATTCTTGCAAGTCTTTGTACTGTCTCATTGTGCTTTTTTTGTCCCTTTTGTTTTGTATTTATTAGTATTCGAAACTTGAGATTTATTTCTTTAGTTAATCTCAATTTTTTTGTTTCATAATAAATCAAGATTCTGTTTAGAGAGAGTTTACAATCTAAAAATCCTCTGGTTTTCTTTAGTCCCACATTGCACTGTTGCAAGTGGTTATGGAACAGCTTCATTGACAACTGGTTCTCTTTGGGTACTTTCAAATATTTTGATTATGTTATGTACGAGAATTGTGTTTGGGCATCGGTGGTTAGGGGGGTCGATGCCTCAATACAACGTCCCATGCTCCATTAATACTTTAACCCACTTTTTTTTTTTTTGGGTAGATCAGTGGGGATTACAGGTCTTTAACCCACTTTTTTTTTTTTTTTTGGGTGGATGAGTGGGGACTACAAGCCCTTACCTATTTTTAGAAATAATTAGTGGTTTTTGATGGAAACCTAGACTGGTAGCTGAAGTTCATGTGGTGCTACCACTACGACCTCAACCCCATTCCCACCTTAACTCTTCTTAATAACAAATTTGGAGTACAGTGAATAAGAGGTATGGGCAATCTGCATTGGAAGGATTAGTACCCTGAATCCTAACCTACAGAACACCTTACCTAGGTAAACTGAGAGCCCCTCAAGCGTACTAGACTCAAAAGACAACCCTTTCCACTAGTCCACTCGGAGAACTTGAAACCAACCCTCGAAATTCCAGATACTGTAACCCCTCCAAAACTCATCCAATTGAGGCAACTTGAAATGTAATTTGCAGAAAACATCGTAAACTTTCAAACGATCCAAGAATTACTTAATTTCAATGCAAGATTTGACAGTTGGGGCCAAAATAAATTTGTTTATAAAAATTTTAGGGGTCCTATGTGCGACGCATGGCGCTTCACTGAACTTATTTGACCTAATTTTTTCAAGAGGCTTAGGGCTCGTGATGTGGACAATGCCAATTAAGTCCATGGACACTCATGGCTCACAATGCGGTCCGAGTCGCTTGCAAGGCTAACCAAAGTCTCCATGTGTTAGAGGGCATTTACAGACCCAAGGCTCTATAAATAACCCTTGAACCCTGAGGTTTTGAGCCCTTGACCTTTCTTTGGCCCTTTGACGATTTTGCTCCTCAGATCCTAGAAAACTTAGGACTATATAACCCTAAACCTAAGAGTCTAAAAACTAGGAACTTTAGCATGACCTAGAGTCCCTTGAAAACCCTAGATCAAACTCTTCGAGACCGCAAACAAAGTCCTCATGGCCTAATCTATGCCGTACGCTTAGGAAATCCTAGCCAACCCTAAGATTCCTGTCTCCAAGTACTCGTAAGCTCCCCTAAACTTAAAACTCTAAAAACAATTATGTTTGGAGCATCTTTAACTTGATCACTCTTAATGACAAAGGAAAAGGTGGCTCCACACCGCCTTTTGTCCGATCCTAGCCCTAATTTCGGGTACCCGGTCTAAGGGCCCAACTCGAGCGAGTCACCTATTTCCTTTCGTTTCCTTTAATTTTTATTTCATGGCATTGCTTGCTTAGTGGTAAATTTCCTTGTTTTTCAACTTTTTTCAAATTCATAAGACTTTGGCAAACCTCTAGCCGGCGCGGTTGCTGGACCATAGGAAGTAAACTGTGAGGTATGATTTCTAGTCTATAATTTGACAGAACCCATCCTTTACTATTTTTATTTGTTTTGATTTAGTTACATGCAATTCAAGGCAGATGAGACTTCTGATTCTTCTCAGATTTTTTGCGTGTAAACAAGAAGAAAATTAATTTTGGTTTTCTAATGGCAACAACCTATATTACTTTCAATTGTGTTCTGCTTACATAGGAAAGAGAAAATATAATCTCAGTTTTTTTTTTTTGTCAATTTATGAATCTTGTGGAGTCCATGCCTTTCTTTCTTTCCTTAAATGATGGGCTCGCTCCAAACATTATCTGTCTAGAAGACAAGGCCTATGCCGCACTTTGTCTCTCTAAAGGACAGGACCCCCATATCCATTCTCTCTCATGGCAATCGAGGACCCAAGCCCCCCACACCCTCTAGAAGCTGGGGGACATGTCCCCTAAGAGAGAAATGTAAAGGCCCTTCTCTTGTTGAAGTTTTGGTGCCTTAGAAGTACACAACTTGCCCAAAAAAGAAAGGATAACTTTTGGAGTTTTCTCGGGAGGCATTCGCCTATTTTCGGTTCATAGACCACATGACTATAGAGCATTTTCCTATCATTGCTTTTAAAAAAACCTATTCGTGGGGAACTATTCTTTATAAGCATTGGTCACCCTCCTTCTATGATCTTCAAGAGACTTGCATATAAGGAGGTCATTTTCTGCAGTGCATAGTCCTCGTAAGCCCTACTGAAGGGAGACACTACACCTCCAAAAGGCTTCTATTGAGTCAACTCACAATATAAATCCATATTTTTCCTAAGAACTTAGTCAAAATAATAATTTTTGAATATTATTTGGTTTTCTATTTCATTAAAGATCTACAAAGATATTATGGATAGAGATAGCTAGCAAGAAGCCAAAATAATACAAAATAAAAAGACTAAAGAAAAATTATGGATAGAGCCTATAAAGAAACACCTGCCCTTGTCGTCAGATCTCGTCCACAATCTTCTCTATAAACATGGATGAAAGAAACAATTCTTCCTCGGATAAGATCCTGTAAACTCATCCCATATTTGCCTCAATGCCCAGGGAATTTTCTGCAGTCCATTGCATCATTGAATCACATTCAAAGCAACTCACAATCTTCTTCCCTTCCAATAGTTGCCCAAAAATCCGCTTCATTAACAGTTTTGACCATTGAAGAAAAAATCGGGCATTCTAACAAGTAACCGCTCAGTTAGATTAGAACTGGCAACTAGTCGGTTTCGATTTCGGCCAATTTTGGTGACCGACCGAGTATTTTTTAAAAAATATTAAAAAAATCTTAAAAACTATGGGATTTTGTTTGTAATGTATTTTTTTAAAAATCTTTTTCATCATTATTGCAAGGATTGAAAATTGTTTTGAATATTAATACTTATTTTTATATTTTTTCATCGTTTTTAGAAAGCTTTAAAAATATCCATGGGCACAAATCAATTCTCTTTTAGCTTCATTTGGATGTGCTTTGCTTAATCATTCTTAGAGGGTACAGTTTCCATACATGCATCCGTAGATGTAGAGGTAAGGTGCACCTTCAAATTTTATCATGGTATATAATTTTGATGTAAAATGTTCTTAGGATTATCTCAAAATATATTTTTATATCTAATTATAAAATTTTAAAAACATATGAAAACCTTGAAAATGGATGGTTTAGATAATATGTTGTAAAATGCACTATTTAAGAGACTTAAAATCTTTTTATTTTTCATAGCCATACATATCGATGTCGAGATGATCAATCAAAGGGTTTTTCAACATTAAAACTACCTTTTCAGATGGATTTTTTAGGGGCATCTGTAGTTCTATGGTAGCATCCTTATATAATTTTTTTCCTTCTTTAAATATACATTTCATATTTTATTAGGTTTTTTTTGTATTTGTTTTAATTTTTTCAACACTTTTTTAACCACCCGGGACTTGCCTAGTTAGAACGATTGAATCGACTGCTTTACTAGTTAAGCTGGTTAAATTACTTCCGGACCTATATCCGATTAACCATTCCGGTTCGATTTTTCCTATAATTGGTTTTGACTCCAAACGGATCATAATATTGAATTCGCATAATCCCGCTATAGTCTGGAACTTATCCCCTGAATCCAACTAAACCTAGGTTACCTAATGGGCTACCATAAAGGTCTTGCAATATAAGAAGTCGGAATTTCATGGAGCATGTAAAGCAAATCATAACTTGGTACACATCTAAATTCCTTTCAAGAGAAGCCCAATTAACAATGCATCCTCTAAATTTTTCTTTTAAGATAACAAACCTATAGAATATTACCATCAAACATCTCTTATTTTTCTTCTTCCACACCTTGTAGAATAGTACACACACAATGATCTTCCACAATACAGCTCATTGACTGAACAACAGGTAACTTGTGGATGGGTGGGAAATCGGTAGGGTGGACCATGGACCTGAGAGGATGACCTGACTGGGTTTGGGTTTGGACCCAGACAATAGACCCAGCTGGTCGGGTCTGGGTC